AATGTAAAAAAAAAAAAAAAATTAAAAAAAAATCAAAATATGCCTCGTTCATCTTTAATATGTTGTCACTACTTAAATCCAAAGCTCAATCGGTGACTTTGTTTCAGTACCTTAAGCCATAATGAAAAAGAACAAAGGCAGCACATTGTGAGGAGAGCTCAGCAGTAACTGATCATATTGTAGCCTTTCACAACAGCAGCTTTATTTCCATTATTTACAACACTCATCTCTGGTCTGAATATTTCAGTATGACTGTTCACCTACAGTTTCTTGCTGCATTTGCACCATCTCCAAACTTAAAAAAATAATTTTCAGTTACAGCCTCTTATCAAAGATTGTGTTGTGATATTTCTGCTACATTTATTGCATGTTTAGTCTACTTCTGATGTGTTGATAATATTTTAAGATACAATTAGAGATCACATAAAAAAGTTTTGGGCTTAGATAATGCTCCAGCTGCTGCATTAGTATATGGTTAACTAAGTCCTTTTATCCTTACATGTGCACATGTAGTCTACAGCTTTTTGTAGACTGTAGGTTTTGATTGAAAGCTTGTTTTGCAAAGTACATGAAGCGCAGATATTTCTGTTTACCTGCTTGATTTTGATTTTATTTTTATTTCCATAAAAATGTACCAGAATAAAGAGTGATGATTCTATGAATAATAATTTTGAGTCCTTGCTGACTGTTAACCTGAAGCACCTCTACACACATCAACATGAATTTAAATGTGACTCATGAAATGTTAATGGGCAGGTATTTTCAGAGCTCCAGCCTGTATGTATTTGTCTATATGCATCTGAATGGCTTATCATACATAGTAGCTATGTGGGATTTATTGTATAACTACAACAGTAACGTCTTTACAGAATCCACAATAATAGCTACATATTGCGTTTCTATTCCGCATTCTGACACAGGATAATCCAGAATGACCTGGACTTTTCAGACAGGGGATGTACCTGCCCTTGCCCCACCTGCTTTCCCAAGTTTGTGACCACAGCTTTACCAGCTTTAACTCACATTTGGCCGTATTCAAAGTCAAAGTAGCACCCTCTAAATGGCGAAATATCTCCCGTAAAGTATCTACATATGCAGACCAGGTGGAGGAGTAAATGACAATGTCATCTAGGTATGCCTCACAGTTTTTGACACCATAAATAACTGTATTCATCAGACTTTGGAACGTGGCAGGAGCATTCCTTAACCCAAAAGGCATGACTTTGTATTGAAGGAAATGGTCCGGGGTGACAAAAAGCTGAAATCTCAGATGCACGATGTGAAAAGGGCACCTGCCAGTATCCCTTCAGTAGGTCTAATTTGGTGACATATTTGGCTGACTCTATGTGAAGGGTGTGAGGATGGGGCATAAAGGAGGATGACTCTATGGACTGTTTCCGGTATTTATTTGCTCCTGCAGATTAAAACACATTAACTGACTCCTGGTCTCTCCTTTCAGCACATCTGCTCCCTATACATGCAAAACAACAGTGTTTTTACTAGGGAATACAAGCTGCGCTGCGTAGGTTGCATGACACAAGGCGAACTGCCGCCATACAATTCGTGCCAAAAAAGTGAAACTAAAAACGCCTGTAAGACTTTCATTAACGGTCAAAACAACACAAAATCGCGATTTTGCATTCGTCAAACAGATTCAAAACCGCTTCACAATCAATCTTCACATTCCAGAGGTATAACATCTCAGGGGGATTTCTGTTCGCTGCTGAACAATGTACCACAAAACATTTATATTTTGACACCCTGATAGTATGGACTCCTGGCAGAGACAATGACAGGATTAAATAATGCAAAGGGCCATTAATTGTGACAATTACTTTTGTGTGTGTGTATTGGCTGGTGAGTATCAGAAATAATCCTGTCATTAATTTGTGGTTTCTCCGTTTAATGAATGAATGTGATACTTACTGGCCATGTTTATTAATTCTCTTGCTCAGCTTCGTAAGCAACGTTTGTAATCTCTATATATCTCTATAGTTTTTTTTTTTAGCATGCTAGTTATGATTACTTACCTCATAACTTCCACAGTGGGGACAAATACAATATATGAACCTTCAATACAAGACTTTTCCAGTTCTGTCAAAGACATATGTTATCACATATTAAATTTTAACTCTTTATCAATTAACTTACCAATTTTCAAGTTTATTCTTTTTGATTCATTCAACATGTCTTGCAGTTTTCAAATGTGACCACTAGATGGCAGTGTTGTATTGTTTGTGTAATGCCCGATCTCAGGCATGAAGGAGGAAAAAATGCCAATGGGACACCCTGTCGGTTTCTTAGATATGTTCAGACTAACAGGGCAATTAGACGGATTATAACATGACCCATTATCATTATCATTAATATTATGTAATGTTTTATTAGCAAACATGTAGTAAACAGCTGATAGAACAGTATGATACAGATGTTGTCAGGTTCTTCTGTCATGAACTTTATACAACCTACACCCTTGACTGTTCCTTTATTATGATGTTTTTTGTCATTTGTTTGCCTTTATCTCAGCCTCTGCTGCTGCTTGTTATTTTAGCTTCATTTTAATGATGTTAGCTGTGATGAAGACCTCGTCACTGTTTACAAATGACACGAGGTAAAGAGGACACTCAGTAGTACATACTCAAATTGTAATCCAGACTCATACCTCCCCTCTGTACTTGTGGTGAGTGCACGCACCACATTAAAACTACAATCAAAACGTTACACATATCCACTGCAGTAATATGTTTGACAAAAGAAACACACTACATAACATGTTAGTCAATTCAGATCAGTTTATTCATAACAATCTTCTTTTACCAAAGTGTTACCATTAATCAGATGTTCCTCTCCTCCACAATCTCTGGGTCTGAAATAGAGCTCATAAATAACAAAAATCTGTAAGCACCCACAGGTGCCTATTACCAGTAGTTAAGGGTTGAGTGAGACTATAAACTACAGTGCACACTTGAAACATCCTAAGGTGCCAGGTGCAAGTATAAACTGTTAATCTTTAGTATTGGTTGTGTTGAAAAGAGCTGGTTTTGTATCTTCAGTCAAATCCACCTATCACAATCCTCTCTGCCATTTAAGCGTATGGTATTTGTAGACTGCGTATAATGTGTACAAGTGGGGGTGATTCCCCAGGGCTGCAAAAACACTTATAAGATCCTGCTCAAGACCACAGGTGCAGTGGACACACTGCTATGCTATCAGTACCATAGGTTGCCTATGCTCACACACAACTGGTAACCATGCTATTGCCTGACATGCTTTGGGATACTGGTCCCACAATTGTCAGTCTAGCCATTGTAACATTAGACACAGTTGACACTTTGTGACTCTTCCCACCATCAAACTATCAAATTGATAGGAAACAGAGACAAAGGTCCCTTCTCTCACAAACAGTCAATGCTTTTAGCATATCAGAGAGACACAGAACCAGACCAAGGGTCAAAGGGTCAGCTCCAGAGGATCAACCAATGGACACCAGGCAACTGTAGAATATAGGCAAAATCTCCAGTTTGTAACAATAAGACTCTGTCTATTGATATTTGATTGTTTCTTATATGGGACAAATAACACCAAAAGGACTGAGAATCACTAGTCAGAGATGTGCCACTGTTTAACTTTTTGTTTAAATTTTTTTTTTTTTTATGAATAATTATGAGAGATGACAGGGATGTGCGCAGACATTTTGGGGGGCAGGGGCTCACGTGAAAAAAATCACGTGAGCCCCTGCCCCCCAAAATGTCTGCGCACATCCCTGTCACCTGGTCCATTTTGGAGAGACCGAGACCTCTGGACATTTCAGCTCCCGCCAAAAACCTTATGAACATCATCCAAATCCAAACCAGGAGAAGCTGATGGCACTGACAGGTGGTGGTGAAGACAACAACTCCCATGCTCTGATGCTACTTCACAACGCAAATAATTTCTGTCTTTACACATTGTTTTGATTGAGAAACATCAAATTAGCTATTGTCTGCTTGAATGCTATGCTAATTTGTAGGTATGTGTTTTGAGTTCTGCCCTTTACCAAATAAAAATCCTAGTGGCAGCACAAAATCTGTAACTTCCACCACAGAGAACAAAAATACCTCCAATCAAGTTGCACTGAGGTATATTTGTAGTTTTCTTTAATTAAAACACAATATTGGCACCCTAACACATCTTTGAGTGCTGAGTTGTGACAGTACTTCAACCCAATGCTTTTCCGTGACATGCATTTGTAGAACATGATGTAGCATGTTGTGCTTCCTTCACTCCATTCACATCCCCTTCCATACATCTTGAACCTGGTTATCTGTTCCTCTGTGGTGTCATGGCCCTTTGGATCCCAGGAGAATGATAGCCTCTTAAACCAGCCCAGGTGACCATCATCATTTCAGATGGGCTTATCTACATTTCCTCAAAGAACTCCTTGTTCTACCACAGTTATCACTCTGTTTTTTCATTCTGTGTTTGTCATTGTACTTGAGTGCAGCAGTTCAATTATCAGGCTCAGACTGATGAGAGCGTATTGTCTCCAGCTCTAGCATTCTTGCTCACTTACATTAGTGCATCAAAGTCCATAGACCAACAGAACTGTCTAACAGCAAGAATCTCACTTCATCTTCACCCCTATCATTCAGTACCAAAATCACAGTACACAAAATACTTGTTTTACAGAGCTCTAGTGTAAATAGCACCATGTCAGCCAAACATGGAAATGAGAGCATGCTTCCCAGAGACACAAAATACACACAAGTTGTAGGTGTTTCTCATTAATGGGAATGGGACAAGTACAGATCTACACTTGTACAGTGTCTGCCATGTAAATGAGAACAGCTTCATTGTGAATTCAGCTGTATCAAAGTACTGCATTTGTGAGCAGAGAGGATGAGGAGAGCAAACAGATAAAGACCTGAAACCAGCTGACACTAGGCTGAAACCAGCTGATATTATGTCTCATCTGTGAAAGTAAGATGACTCCTTTATCGCCCAGTCAAGGCCCTTGACAGTTAGACATGGGTCTGCATGCGTTTCTGCAGAGGCCTGGTGATGTCTGAGTTCTGGGAGGAGGACTGAGAATAGTGAGAGGAGGACGAGGCTGAGGTCTTGCTGTTCTTGTCAAGCTGCACACATCTGTCCTGCTTGCTGTGGCTGCTGACGCTGCTGTCACACTGAGTGTCAATGAAGGAGCTGGAGTCGCTGAGTGAGCTCCGCTGAAACTCCCGCTCACACAGCTCGATGGAACTGCTTCCCATGCCCAGGACGAAGTGCTGGCTGTAGTCGCACAGGTGGTTTGGACCGGCACCAAGGGTGTTGTAGATGTTGGTGAAGGACATGCCAGTGGGCACCTGCTGTTTGCCAATAGTCTTAGTTCCAGCGGTTGGGCTTCGGCCTATGTCAGGAGTCCGGCTGGGGGTCAAGGACATGGTGTGGGTGGCGTGGTGCTCGTTGAACGTGCTGACACTGTAGTAGCCATTGGTGGGGTCCTTTTAAATGCAAAAGAAGAAAAAGTGATTTCAGTGAGACAGTAAACAAACAAGATAATTTTGTTGCCTCCTGTTTGTGAATCAATGCTGTCTTTTTGTGCACAACTACGTTTATGTAAAAGCTGCTTTTTAAACACAGACACTGAAAAACAAGAGCTGGTTTTCTCACCTGTCTACACTTTCTCACTTTCACTGAAGAACAAGAGTTGAGCCACAAACAGTGATCAGAAAATGGGCTGATGAATACGGGAAATGAAGAAAGGTGCAATATGAAATAGCAGATCACATGATTTAGTGGTGTGTCATCTGCCTGCTTCTCAGTATTCATGTTTGTTGCAGGATGTGTTGATTTATTTTATTATCTGTCAAATCAAATGCAACCCTGCATAACATCACATATTCACATAAACAATTGCTGGTAGCCATGCATCTGTTGCCTCTAGACTTGACTACTGTAATTCTTTATTATCAGGATGTCCCAATAACTCAGTGAAATAAAATGTAAACTCAGCGATGGTTGGTCCACTGTTGGAAAGGATGTCAACCAAATCGAAACACAAGAAATACTTTTTCATCATTACTTTTAGCACAGTGGCAGTTATTAGGAACTCAATGCTCACTGAGTGTCAACACCATACACCTGTGTGAGCCATAGTCAGATCTCCACTGAGCCACTGACATGACACTGACACGCTTCAAATTTTTTTAGCTGTGGTTTTATATTTAGCTCAAGCTTCAGTAGTTGAGCATTAGAACATGTAGTATGTTGTGAGAATGTTCTCAGTTTACTGGGAAGCTGAAGAGAGAGTCAACCTGCACTTTCTACTGCAGTGAACGAATATGAAACCTCGGCTGATTTTGACGTTTACATTTAGAGAGTGGAGGCCTGTGGCCACAGAATCTGTGCCACCAGGAGAAGTTTTGATTTTTCTTTTCCTGGTCGCCAAAAACCATTGCTCCACATTCTAGGTGGTCACATGAAATGTCTGATGAAATCTCAGAAAAGCTGTAAAACCCTTCACTTGGAGGTAAAAATATCCAGAACATAACACATATGTCAGAACTGGTAAGCTTTTAAAGCGGAGTAGGCCAGAAGAAAGTTGAGTCTGTACTCCGATGAGATCCCATTCATTTTAAAAATCATAAAAAAAAAAATATGAATATAAATTCAACCATAAGGGATATAATGGCACATACTGTATCTCCTAAACATGCTTCACATTTTAGCTTTGGAGCCATGTTTCTAGTTGCAAGCCTGTGACCAGGAGTGAAAAGCCATCTTCACTATAATTATCATAACTAATGATAATCTATGCTTTCTGTGCGTTGCACAGCAGGAACATGATTCATGGTAACTGGCTCTTTGAAGCTGAGACAGCTGAATATTGATGGTATTCACCCACCTTTTCCTCCTCATGGAGCATCTCCAGTTGCTTCAGCACAGCCTCCTGCTGGAACTCACCATGGTCTGTCTGCATCATGTTAATCAGGGCCATCAATAGTCATTCATAGTGAATACATACCAGAAAAACCAGAAAGCCTTGGACAGAGCACATCAGTATTTGAGGCCGTATCAAACTGTTCACTCACCATCATCTGCGTGATGTTCATATGCTCCTCGCTCTCCTGTGCTGCATCATGGTCCTTGTGGACAATCTCCACCTGAATGCCTCCTTTAAGACCTGGAGGACAGGGAGAGACGGATCAGAGTGGCTGAGCAGCCTCACACCCACAGCTTTTTCAGACCTCAGGGTGATTATGCTGACTTCACTGACTGAAAACTTGAATAAACTTGAATAAATTACAACTTGGTAACACTGATTTAACCCCTGAGGTAACCCCAGATATTGATCAGCAGGATGCTGAAGAATATCTGCAGTCTAAATATGCAGTGTACCGGGCCTAAAAGTGTGAAGACAGAACATCTGTCGTCAAGAAATGAGTCAATTGCATATCCTCTTTCCTTCTGATGATCTGCAGTGACAAAGTAATAGAGAGACAAGCAAAGCTGTTGTTAAAAGAGGCCGTTTCACTGTGGCTGCTAAACTAATCACCTACGAGTCCCTCAATGCAACACAACTGACTCTGCTAAGTGGTGGTGGTGTAACATTCAGGCAAAGCAGAACTTTATTTATATAGTACATTTCATTCCAGGTGGAACCATAATGTGCTGCATCAAAGCATGAATTATCACAGAAGTTGAAACCACAAATACTATGTGGATAGTGAAAAGATAAAATGTTGACACAAATTAAAACAAACACATAAATGATACGTACAAATTAAAAATCATTAAGAAAATTAGCACCGATCAGTAAAAAAGATATGTAAATTAAAACGATTAAAAAGTAGGAATAAAATGTGATTAAATAAAATCATAATTAGCCCAATAAAAAACAAGACATATGAAACCAATAAAATAAACCAATAAAAATAAAATGAAATGGTATATTGAGACCAGTAAACCACACTACTGGAAAGCGTGGCTAAAAAGGAATGTTTTCAGTTTAGATGATAGCGTAGGAGCACCTCTAATATGCTTAGGTAGTATGTTCCAGCAGCTTGTAGCATAAAAGCTGAAGGCAGTTTCACCAGTTTTTGAGGAGACCCGGGGGAGATGGCCTGTTCCAGCTGACCTGAGGGGTCTAGCTGGTTGATAGCTCACAAGCAAGTCAGATAGATACTGAGGTGGAAGACCATGTATGACCACAAAAACAAGCATTAAAATTTTAAAATAAATTCTAAAATTAACTGGAAGCCAATGTAGCGACCACAGCACAGGTGTTATATGGTCATATTTTCTTTTTCTAGTTAAAACTCTGGCAGCTGCATTCTGGAGTAGCTGCAAGGTATATTTAGGATAGTCCTGTGAACAGCACATTACAGTTGTAGCATTAACACCATATTTTAGAATTTACTCTCGTTGAAATGGGGCACGAGTCCTCTGGGAGGACAACAATGAATTACTTCATTGACAAATTTATCAATCTCATATCGGAAGCCATGACTTCTCAATTCAATGGATCTCCAGTCTCTACGTCAAAAGAAAACAAGAGGACAACAACTGGGTGTAAATAAAGAAGTTTATTAACTAAACTACTATCTACAGAGTAAATGTAAGGTGTAATAATCATAAAGATAAAAATAATAATGAAATGAGCAGTGTGATGAGTTGGCAATGGTGGGAGAGAATATGTTATGGCTATACACTATGGCTATACAGCTAATGATACTACATCTACGAATGAGATTTGATGATTAAATATTACTATATTTCGACATCAACCCAGTCATGAGCAGAATGTTAATGATGATTAAAATTTACAAAATTACTCTGAGGCACTTCTGTTGTTTTGGTTCAGTTGGTCTTGACTTGGCTTATAAAAATAAAAGATCGCACATGTAGACAAAAATGATGTTACTTGGAGCCTGTGGCAAAGAAAAATAAAGGTTGTGAAAAGTGCAAAAATGACTAAGAGCCATGAGTTTGTGGCTAACAGCTTAGAGCTAAAAGTTTACATGACTACAGAGCCGGGCTTTGAGCCGGGACTCTGAGTTTTGAGCAAAGATCTCAGCTTCTAGTTTCTGCATTGTTTTTCTAGCTTCAGCTTTTCAGCCTCTAGCATTGTCTTAGCTTCTTCTTTCTGAGCATCTAGCTTTTGGCATCTTCTGGCTGTTTCTAAGAATCTTCTCATCTCTGGCTTTTTCCTTCTTAGCATCTCGCCGAGTTTCTACCAATGTGTGAATAGTTCATGAATGTTTTATCCCCTGGGGGGCTGGCGCATGTTTCAGGGGTGTCACTCGTCTTCGCCTGTGTTTCCACTTGGAGAAGAGAGTAATTTTCCACTGAACTTTTGAGTAATTAAATTCTATAGTTTACTTATAAACTCGTACATCCGTTTTCCACCATGACCACAAAACATTAAATCAAATAACATATAAAACTACTTGCACTAATAATGGCAGAGAGGAGTAATACAAGTGTTTTCATATTACATCCTTCAAACCTGGAATTAATCATGATACAAGTGGTTAACTGATCAAACAACAATATAAACATTTCCCAAAGCTAATAGTCTATAAATGTGGATTACACAGCAGTTCTTTGGCTGTAATAATAATATGGACATGCTGGATGTCATGTAGTGTGTGTTAGCTCGTGTGAAGGATGCTGACAGTATGGTCACATGAAGGACATTGTCTTAAAATCTACATGTTACATTTCAAACATTCTATTGGATAGAAGTTTGGGATTAAACTATTGCATAGGAACATCTCATGAGTTACAGAACAGCTAGATATTTAATTTTACATTCTTCCTCAGATCTGTGTCTGTGAAGAGAGTTCTGCTGGTCACTACCCAGGATTGGAATATGGGTTGTAGTTTATGACTCTTATCTAGAGAGGGGGAGAGGAAGGGAGGTTGACTCTTTTCTAGAGAGGGACAGAGGAAGAGAGGTTGGTGTGTGTGTGTGTGCGTGTGTGTTTGTGTTCATACATGGCACAGAGAGGCCAGGATTCACACCTTAGTGTTAATCAGTCCTTTTGTTGTTACTTGTCCTATATAAGAAACAATCAAATATCATTAGATAGAGTCTTATTTAATTTGCCTATATTCTCCAGTTGTCTGGTGTCCATTGGTTAATCCTCTGGAGCTGACCCTTTGACTTTTGGTCTGGTTCTGTGTCGTTCGGGCATGCTGAAAGCATGGTCTGTTTATGGAAGAGGGGAGGTTAGAGATAGGTCTGTAATTACTAATAATAGATGGGTCTAGAGTGGACTTCTTTAAAAGTAGCTTAACAATTGAAGATTTGAGTGAGCTGGGAAAAATACCAGTTTGTAAAGAGGTCTTTATAATGGTTAAAATATCCTTAGATAGACTGTTAAAATGCTTTTAAAAAGGAGGTGTGGATGGGATCAGGGAAAGAAGTGAAACCATTATGACCATTAAGACCATGGAACCACTGTTCTAAGATCATCAGCACTGACTGGTGCAAAAATTGATAAAATAAAATTTGAGGGAGGCAGGGTAGGGGGTGCATGAGTAAGTATGGGAATATTTGCCCTGGTAGTCATTATTTTGTTTTGAAAGAATGTTGCAAAGTCCTCGCACTTATCAGTAGAAGTTAAATTACCTGCAATATAAGTTCTGTAATTGTCAAAGAGTTTGTCTGTAGTGGAAAAGAGAACCCTTGAATTGTGTATATTATTGTTCCTTATATTTTTAAAATATGGTTTCATGGCTTTTCTAATTTCTGAGTTATAAGTAATCAATAGATTTTTATAGATTTCAAGATGGTCTGAAATCTGGGTTTTACGCCATTTATCCCCGCTCTTCTGCAGTCCCTTTTCTTCCTCCTTATCAATTCATCTGTTAGCCAAGGACTTTTATTCTTTTCAGACAACACTTTACTTTTTTAAGCTGTAGTCTGCTGGGGCAGCAGCATGTCTGACATGAACACCAGGAGATTGGACAAGCTGGTCGAAAAAGCTGGGTCTGTGCTTGGCAGGAGTCTGGACTTGCTCAGGACTGTTGTTGAGAGATGCATGCAATGTAAGATGAAGGCCATTTTGGACAATACCAACAACCCTCTCCACAACATTCTGGCAGGACAGAGAAGCAGCTACAGCTACAGCTGCAGCAAACATCTCATCTCGCTGTGTTGCAGAACAGAGAGGTTCAGGAGATCCTTTGCCCCAACTGCCATCAGGCTATATAACACCCCAGCCAAAGGAAGTGGACAAATGTAATATTGTTTAATATCTATTATTATCATTATTATTATTATTATTATTATTATATATCTTATGTATGAAACACTAAGCAGGTGACGTGGAGGATATATAACATAAAATCCTATAAACACACAACAATGAAGAAGAAAGACACAACAACACTGATGAGTGTTCAGCACAACCATCAGCAACCACTGCTCATCACACTGTGAGCAGAGTCAGTCACACAGTTTGTTAAAGGCCTTACTCTCTGTTTTCACATCTCTGTGGTGTGACATTGACACAGGAAGAGAAGACATGACCAGATGGACATCCTCTGTAGAAACAGACAAAAACATGTCAGAGACTAAACCAGGCCACTAAACTCTACCAGGACATCCAGTCATATATTCCTACACATAGTGAAGCAGAGAGAAACAGAGGCAAACTACAGTCTATCCTCAGAACTTCAGATTCAGCAGAGGTAGAGCTGGAGGCTAAATTAATGACTGAAGCCAAATCAGCCACTGAAGAAGAATTCTGGAAGAAGCTTTTCCACTCCACTCCACCACCGCCGTTTACAAAAACCACATACACAGACTACATACTCGTGTGGAATCTGGTGCAGCAGAAAGCGCTGAGTGTCCCCAGGAGGATAGAGAGGGCCAGGAAGGCTCCCACTGCCACACCGACGATAACAGCCAGTCGCAGAGTCTCTGAAGAAACAGACACAGCAGGACATTCAGAAGCACTGAGGCCACATCCACAATAATACACACAATATCACTTTTGCTAAACCTACACCTGATGTCCACACCACTGTGAAGATTTTGAGCCCCTAAAACCGACACATCTGGAAATGCTGCTGGGCCTTGGCCCACGGAGTCTGGTCGGTAAAAGCCCAAAGAAATTACATGAAGCCACCACCCTGATGCCAAGGACAGGCATCAGGTTGAGGCACACTGTGGCAAGTCTTCAGTACAGTTCTGCAAATATTGTCATAGGAGCTCCACAAGCTTTCCAACAGGAAACTGTGTCCCTGAGTGGGTCTGACAGGCTCCTCAGGAGTGAGCCACTTTAAAGATTCAAGTTACAGTTTGACCTTCTTTGGTCAGATTGACATTTGGGAGTGATATTGAAAAGATGCTCAGTTCAGTCCATGGGCCTCATTTAAAACTGTTGATAAACATTGAAATTAAATGTGAGATAATTTCACTTCATATCACTCATTACTTATTCCACTCCACTTTTGTGTTGTTTGTAACTTTTCCATAAGCACCTTTCAACTGTATAAGATGTGAACCAACTCAAATCACGTTCTGCTCAATATTTCATCAGCTCACCATCACATAACAGACACCTGGAGGGGCTTCAGTGTCTCTGTGCCTCCACTGGTCAGTCCACACTGAACATCCACCTCCATGTGTGATCACTGTTTCATTTCAGAAAATGTCCTGTTTGTGGCATTAACAGCTGCTGCAGCCATCAGCCTCCACAGGAACAAGGTGTCGATCAGTGCTCATCAGGGGTTTGACCATTTGTGGTTGATTGTGGGAGTGTTGTAGGCGGAGAATGAGGCTTTGCCTGTGCACAGCCTCATAAATCTGATTACTTTTTTGTGTATGACATTTTCAGCTCTTGTGCACACAAACGTCTGGATCCTACACACTGTGTTATAAGTGAGGCCCCTGGTCTTCACTAGAACTCAGTCTCTTCAGGGAATGATAGCTTTGAAACTCATCAGCATAGTCCAACTAAAACATTTACAGTTTTATGGTTTTAATATATTTTTATTACAATGAGAAAATACATTTAAATCATTTTTTTTATTTTAATGTGTTTTTTCATTTAATAGAAGTATATTGAAATGAATCATTCAAAATGTAATTATAGATGTAGGCTAATTATACTGTAGATGTAGGCTAATTTGTCAGTTCTGTGCAGGACTGTGCACTGAGATGAGGCACCAAACAGACAATAGTTGGTAGAGTCTCAGAGTCTATTATGTTAATTTCCCCTAGGGGATAAATAAAGTATCTATCTATCTATCTATCTATCTATCTATCTATCTATCTATCTATCTATCTATCTATCTATCTATCTATCTATCTATCTATCTATCTATCTATTGAAAGAGGCACGTTGCTGTCCCACATCACAGCAGAGGGATCGCTTCAGCGCTATAGCTCTAATCATACACTAAACACATTTTGTTTTCTTTTGACATGACAGCTGTGAAACCTTGTGCACTGTTGTCCAGTTACACTCTAAGAAGTCTATAACATGAATCTGCCTACAACATTCTGATTTGAATCCACACAGGGATGAAGATACAGTTTTCAACAGCTTTAATCAGACTCAGTAGCCTCAGTGTGAGATTTAACCACAGGTGAAGAGCTACAGTTAAACCTGTCTGACATGTCTTTTTCCTCACCTTGTTCTTTGAGGCGTATGATCTCAGTGTCAGAGCCGAAGCTGTTCCATGCTGTGCAGTTGTAGATGGTCTGGAAATCTGCGGGGACTATGTTACTCATGGTCAGTGTGGAGATGACCCCCTCCTCTGTGCTGACCGTCTCCACAGTGTAGCGTCCAGATGTCCCTGACTCCAAAACTGTCTCCTTCCAGGACCAGGCCTGAGGGATGATAAAAAGATTACACACATTGTCATAAAAATGATATAGTCTCAATGTTGTTGTTGTTACTTGACTTTTTTACACCACAATATCTTAAACTTACCTACAGCATACAGTACCCATTATTCAGTGACTGGGTGCTGTTTCTTTAAATACACATGTACATTTGTAAACATAATGACATGTTACACATCAACTTTATCAGGACAGATTGTATGATTTTTACAGAACATGAATCAGTTAAGTTCTGGGGTTTAAGTTATCTTTTTCTTCAGTGTCTGAGAAAGTCATCCATTCTTCTCAGACTGATCAGATACATGAACATTGAGCTGAGTTAGTAATTGGAAAGAGGGATAAAGTGACTCACGATACGGTCGGGAGGAGGGCTGCTGTGTATGAAACACTTGATCTGACCCCTCTCTCCGTAGAGCGCCTGCTGGGTCTGGGTGCTAGAGATAGTGGGAGGACCTGGGGAGGCACAGTCAAGGCAGGAACACAATCATCACAATAATAATTTCTCTGTGTTGTTCCAGTAGATCTATAGTTATGCCTCACTGGTCTGATTTTTATGTCCATTGTTACTCTATTGCACAACAGTTCCCACAAAGAGCAAGCACTTGACGACAGGATGGGGAGGAAAAACTCCCTTTTTAACAGGAAGAAATATATCATAGGAACATAGGAAGAAATAAGATCTGAGATTTTACTGTTAATGGGGCCTGAGCATGGTTCTGCCCTTGGCATTTAATGCATGCACTGCAATCACCAAAAAAATGCATGTCCAAATAATTTACAATAGATCTAAGTTATGCAGTCATGTTGTATTGTCTGTCTGCAGAAACTGAGCTGTAACTTGTAGCTTGTCATTGAATTTTGGCCCAGAGATGATAAAACATCTATTAAACTGCTGTCCATTTTTTCAATTGATTCAAAAAGGTTGAAAAATGTTTGATTGAGCTGAGATCATTAGTCAGAGAGTGGAGATAAAGGTTTATAATCAGTCATCAGAAATAAATGATGCTGCCTTATTAGCCTATCAGTGATAGCTGTGCTGCAGAGGTGAGGCTCCACATTGTCCACTCTCATGTTGGGGGGATTTTTACTCTGAATGGTAAAGCTGGTATTCCAGTTTTGGCTCAGAAATGGTTGCTTTTATTTTTCAGCACAGTTTTGTTACTCATGAAGGCCTCTTCCTGTGCATCACATGTAGACTGAATCAGGTGCAGTGGTAACAGAGAGCCATTCACATGCAGTGCATGATGGGCCATTGTACTCACCATTCACAGTGAGCGACACTTCCTTCTCCCCCACACCCACTCTGGGGACAACAGCCCGACACACATACTTCCCAGCATCCTCCTGCCTCACTCCTTTCAGTGTCAGAGTGTTCTTGTTGCTAAGCACCTGTGTTGTGAGGGAAACGGTTTCAAAGGTCGGAGGAGACAGAGGTAATTTCAATCTAGTTGAACATCAAAAACAAAGAAGGATCAACAAGCTGTTAGTCAGAGATGTTGCACACTGTGCAGAGTGAAGGAGACAGGAATGTTATAATCTGTGTTTTTATGTTTTATGTCATTCAAAACACAAATCACACAAGTCATTCTAGTTTTTATCCTGAGTACTCTATCAAGTACAACAGCAAAGCTCTCTTAGCTTTTCAATCTTCAACATGAGCTATGAGTCATATTGTATTTAGGAGTAAAATGTTGTTTGAGAGTTGTTCAAAATCTTTTGAAAAGTAATTGAAACATATCTAATACCATGTTTTCACAGTTACATGACAGCTGCATCTGTCTGCTGCACATCTTGCTACAATGACAGATTTGTCCTTTAAAAACTCCTCTTTCAATAAGCATGTTTCAGGTAAAGGTTTGAAGAGAGAGAGAGAGAGAGAGAGAGAGAGAGAGAGATAGAGAGAGAGAGAGAGCAGGGGGCTGCTCACAGGGGGTTCCAATGAACTGCTGTGTCATTGGTGAAGAATACATACCACATGCCTCATTTCCAGTCTTACTATTGGTCCTGTAATATACACGCTCTCTCTTTTTGGGTTCAATGTGATAACCGTGCAGAGGTTCCAATCTGGGTACAAATGGAGCGTAACTCATGTTATTTGTCTTCACTGTCAGCTCTTTTGTTTTCCCCAATGTCTCTGTCATTACAATGTGTCAAAACAATCCTGTTGTAACACACTCTCTGAAAATATGGTCTGCTATTAGGAAAAGCTATGGATGGCAAAACGGCTCTCTACTCGCCCCTGTGTACCTCAATCACCTTTTTCCTCCATCAATCATGGATGGGTCTTTTGGTGTTTGGAAAAGGAATGGCATTGACAATATGAAAACCCTTTTTATAGATGGAATATTTCCCACCTTTGAACAACTGCAAAATAAATTTAAATTAGCACAATCCCATTTCTTTAGATTCCTTCGAATTCGCAACTATATCCAGGTCATTATGCCTTCCTTTCCCAATTTGCCTGATGAGTCACCTATGGAGTCTGTATTTTCCTTTGAGCCATCATGGAGGGGTGCAGTATCTTTTACTTAGAATTTCATGGCCAATTTACAAACCCATCTTTGGAGACTCTGAAGTCTGTATGGGAGGCAGATTTGGGGATGACCGTCCCATCAATATGTGACCGACATGGCCTCATTCAATTTAAGTGCTACATCCCCTTCATCTCTCAAAAGTTAAACTTTCTAGAATGTTTCCAGATGTGGACCCCACATGTGACCGATGCAAACTCTCACCTGCCTCTCTGGCACACTTATTCTGGCACTGTCCAAACCTGTCCACTTACCGGAATTCGATATTCAAAACTCTATCAGAAATTTTCTAATTGACAGTTAAGCCAGACCCTCTAATAGCTATTTTTGGAGTGACAGGTGAAAAAAATAATAACCTATCCGGAACTAAACTTAAAATGACAAAATTTGTCACTCTGTTAGCACGACAATTGATCCTTCTCCAGTGGAAATCTCCCCATCTTCCGACCTTGACTCGGTGGATGCAGGAGGTGATGCAACATCTCAAACTCGAGAAATTGATACTCACGGTGGATGGCTCCTCGGCCACATTTGAGAGACTCTGGCAACCATTTATAGACCATGCTTGAGCCAAGCTCCCGACCCCCACACCTATTTGAATACAAGTCTATATGAAGTTAGTAACATTTATTTATAGTCCTGTTCCTATCTCCATCTTTCTTCTTTCTTTCTTCTTATCTTTCTATCTTGGCCCACCCCTAACCCTAACCCTTCTATTAAGTGCAACTGCCTGTCTTGTTTTTGTTTTTGTATTTGTTTTCTTTCCTTTTTTTTGTTTTTCTGTTTTTAGTTTACTTTCATTATATTGTGTTATTATTGCTTTTCTTTGTCGTTGTCTTTTTTTGTTACGTGGTTGTTAAAAGTTGGGGAAAAAAAACTAATAAAAATATGTTGACAAAAGAATACACACCACTCCTGAGCCACGTTTCATCCACACGATGGTCAGAGAGGGGTTTCCTGTCCAAGCACAGTTGAAAACAGCATCCGATCCTTGGTCCACCTGCAGAGACTGAGGCTCTGCCCCCATCCTTGGCCCAACTAGAAAACAGACATATGACAGAAATGATCTGGACTTATATATTATATAATTATCTTAACATTTGGAAAGACAGTACATTTTAAGAGCCCAAAGCTACAAAGCAGAATAAAATGTATGCTGCAAATACAATCCTTATTTTACACTGGATTTTAGTCTGTGGTTGTCAATTATCATATAAATGTAATAAATGTATAAATGTAATTTCCAAGAAACTATAGAAAATAACTTAGATGTTGACATACTTCTTTTTTGACTCTCTGATAAGACCTGTATGTACATGGATGTACTGTATGTTATGTATCTCAGCTCATCTGTGCATAGGTGTTCGACAAAGCTGATAAACACGCACAGTAGACGTCCACGTTCCTGGTGATGTTGGTGTTTCCTAGTATGTTGGTGACCTCACAGGAAACAGGCTCAGTGAAGAAAGAGTAGTCCACAAGAGCCTCATAGGTGTCGCCGGACACGTCAGGGATCACATAACCTCCTTTGGCCCATCTGAAATCATTAGAAACAAAGCAACAACACGGATGAGTAACAAACAAAGGTCCATTCATATCTGCAATGATTTTTCAATGGATCGGAGGAGGAAAATGATTTCTGGTGATTGTGTGTTCTTTGAGTCTGCTGAGAATCAATATTTTGACTCAGCTCGAATGACTTAATGTTAATAATAATAATAATAATAATAATGATAACAATAATGAAGATGATGATGATAATAATAATAGAAAAAACCCAAAATTGAATTCAATTAAAGCAATTAAAAAATAAACATGAGCTGACAAAGAAAACCTATTGTGCCAACTTACATTTTCATTTATTTCAAGTCAACGTGTTTATCACAAGTACACTTAAAAACAAGTTTCCTTGGACAATAAAAATCTTTCTTTGCTGTCCACTCTGAATGCTGTTCATCAATAAGGAAACACAAGATTTAAAAACTGAAATTAGAAAAAGTAAATGAATAAAATATCAGAGGAACATTATGTACAATATAGAAACAATATACAAAGTGGTTTTAGAAAAGCATCAGGTCTCACCAGGATTTATTCATTTATTTTTGGGTAAAAGCAAGCGGCAAAGTGAAGTTGGACACTGAATTGCAGTTGATTTTACCTAAAGGTACCACAGTGCTGCAAAGCAGACTTTACACTATACACAGGGCTACATACACTGTGGTACAGGGTCAATTCAGCTTCATGATAACAGAGCACTGATAAATCTTCAAATACAAAAGTGCATCATCGTCAAGCATCCACCTGAATAAATGCTTTTGAGTGAGACACGGACCATGTGGACATCCCTGCAGACAGCAACATAGTATTGTTATGTTTTAAATGCTTGACAGGAACTCTACTCAAGGTGCAGGAGGAAATCTCAGGTGCCTGAAGGCTCCGTCCATGATCTCTTCATTAAAAACGAAGGTTTAGATTAAGCGTGCTCTTGGTATGGTCCTCTGTGTACGGCCTTCTGGGACTTCCCAGAATTCAAAAGGTTTCACACCTATACCTGAACTCCACTGATGGACCCAACAACCAGCAACCATTGGTCCCTGTCTGGCCAAGGACCCATGATGTCATCAGGTCAACAAAACCTCGGTGGTCTTCTTCTTCTTCACTGTTTCCACAGCAACAACAGCTGCTCTCCTCACACCTCTCTGCCCTGCAGCACTTAGCGCTTAATCAAGTTCAATTTAGCACCAGTGGCTTTGACACAGTCTGCCAGCTGATTTTACAAGCAACAGGAGTCATGAAGCAGAGTTAGTGTTGAGCAGCTAACTCTGTGAGGAGAACAAAGGAGATACCAGTGACCTCAGCAACACAGAAGCTGCACAGCCGGACAAGCCGGAAACAACCTCTGCTTAATGGACTTGTATACATTGCCTGGGCCTAGCATAGTGTAGCACGGACTGCACAGGACTGTTTCACTTTTGCAAATGTACTCACGTGGTTGAATGTGTTCACCAAGCTACCTTCTTTGACCAGCAGAAGGTCTCGTACATTTATGTCAAATTTGAAGAAGTTCTGTCAAGGTGTTACTGAGATATGTTCACAAGAAGGGGACTGATGGACGTACAACCTGAAAACAATATGCCTCCTGCACGGGCCTGTCGCCAGCACAGAAGCATAACAAAGCTGTCCACAAAGGCTACAACACGAATGCAAATTAAGCCACAACACAAATGCAAAGGTCATAATATGAATATAAAAGCCACAACACAAATGCAAAAGTCACAACACAAATCCAAAAGTCACAACATGAATACAAAAGTCACAAAACAAATACAAAAGTCACAACACGAATGCACATTATGCCACAACGGAAGTGAGCGGCAGGTCCGTCGATACTGGTCCTGGGTGCCAGGGACAATAACTGCTGGTAGACTATTATGACCATTAATCTTTCAATTGTAAACGTTCACCACCCTGTCATCTGAACCACATTCGTATCTCAGTGTGGTATACTTATAACTTTTACCTCGGCCTGCATGCCAGCGTCCACTGGGTCATCAGTGGTGGCCTGAGATGGTGCATCGTGTTCCCCTTCTCACACTGGTGTAGCGTTAATGCCAAATTTTAGAATTTACTCTCGTTGAAATGGGGCACCAGTCCTCTGGGAGGACAACAATAAATTACTTCATTACCAAATTTATCAATCTCATATCAGAAGCCATGACTTCTCGATTCAATGGATCTCCAGTCTCTACGTCAAAAGAATACAACAGGACAACAACTGGGTGTAAATAAAGGAGTTTATTAACTAAACTACTATCTACAGAGTAAATGCAAGGTGTAATAATCATAAAGATGAAAATAATAATGAAATGAGCAATGTGATCAGTTGGCAATGGCGGGAGAGAATATGTTATGGCTATACACTATGGCTATACAGCTAATGATACTACATCTATGAATCAGATTTGATAATTAAATATTGCTATATTTCGACATCAACCCAGTCATGAGCAGAGTGTTAAGACCAGCCTACTGTGAGTTGCGCTGTAGCTGAGGACCCTCGGCTGGAACCCAGGTGGCTGTGGTTGCCGTGGTAACCCCGGAGACACAGGATCTAGGTGGATTCTCCTGGAGGCCGTGTCCCGTTATCATGATGACGGATTCTCCGGTGTCTCAGCGATTCAGCTCTGGTGGAGTTTGTCAGGAGACTTTCGTGCAGAGGTGTTATCTGCCAGCATCTCTTGCGGGTTGATGCGAAATAAACTCTAATGCTCTTCACTTTGGCTGGATAAGTTTAGAGGAGACTGGCGTTGACCAGATGACTCTAAAGTTGTCAAAATCTTCAAAAAGGAAAATTGGTGATGATTAAAAAGTTACAAATTACTCTGAGGCACTTCTGTTGTTTTGGTTCAGTTGGTCTTGACTTGGCTTATAAAAATAAAAGATCGCAGCATGTAGACAAAATGATGTTACTTGGAGCCTGTGGCAAAGAAAAATAAAAGATGCGAAAAGTGTAAAAATGACTAAGAGCCATGAGTTTGTGGCTAGCAGCTTAGAGCTAAGAGTTTACATGCTACAGAGCCGGGCTTTGAGCCGGGACTCTGAGTTTTGAGCAAAGATCTCAGCTTCTAGTTTCTGCATCGTTTTCTAGCTTCAGCTTTTCAGCCTCTAGCTTTTAGCTTTGTTCTCGCATCTTCTTCCTTCTTAGATATGGGTTTCTCTTCTCTGAACCTGTGTGAATTGATCACGACTGTTTTATCCCTGGGGGCTGGCGCATGTTTCAGGGGCGTCACTCATCTTCTCCTGTGTTTCCACTTGAGAAAGAGTAATTTTCAACTGAACTTTGGAATATTTAATTCTAGAGTTTACTTATAAATGTGGGTTGTAGTGACTCTTTATTCTAGAGAGGGACAGAGGAAGGGAGGTTGGTGTGTGTGTGTGCTGTTGTGTGTGTGTTCATGCATGGCACAGAGAGGCCAGGATTCACACCTTAGTGTTAATCAGTCCTTTTGTTGTTACTTGTCCTATACAAGAAACAATCAAATATCATTAGACAGAGTTTTATTAATACAAACTGGAGATTTTGCCTATATTCTCCGGTTGCCTGGTGTCTATTGGTTGATCCTCTGGAGCTGACCCTTTGACCTTTGGTCTGGTTCTGTGTTGTTCGGACATGCTAAAAGCAGGTCTCTTTGTGGAAGAGGGGTCCTTTGTCTCTGTTTCCTATCAATTTGATAGTTTGATGGTGGGAAGAGTCGCAAAGTGTCAATTGTGGGTCCATAACTCTGCATGTCCTTACAATGAACTTCCTTAGTGGCTTGTGATTGATGCCAGGCCAGGTATGTATGCTACACTGGTCCCTGAGGGGAAGAACCGTCCAGGACGTCCTCATCATGGTCTCTTTCTCCCCACACGGTCATTGTGTCTTCAGCATACAGTATGCTAAATGTTCACTGGCATTCATTATCATTTAAATCAATCATTTATTTTTTTAAAAAACCTTTTGATTTATTTTTATCTTTTTCATATCTGGGACATGATGTATTCAATGAAAATAGCTGGGTTCTGTGACAGCTACATTTGTGGACATTGAAATTCTGCAATGTTGAGGAAAAATTGTCAAAATGTTTCATAACAATGAGTCACACCATGCAGCCTGAAAGAATTTGCATATGAAAGCCTAATGATGATCATGTGAGTACAAACTACCAATAAACATATCTAATAAGGCCAATTATTAAAAAAGACGAGTTTTACTGACATCATGTAAAGTAATTTCACAGAGTTCTAATTTCTTAATGATGATGAACCCACATCACATTTAGTGTCCTTCAGTCCACATGCTGTATATACGGTACATCTTACAGGAACAGCTCATTAGTTTGGCTGTTACAAACTACATATGGCTCAGCTTGGCCAAAAATAGTCACAAATAAAAGAGCTTCACTTTCACATTTTTTGCATAAATTTTACTTATACAATATTGAATAAAATTTGGTATTTAACAGTGACTAAATAAATAAATGTAATGAAATACAAGTTAAACTGAAAAGCTTTGGTGGATCAATGTGGGAAGACAATGAAAAACAAATCATCATAGAATGTAGCAGATAGTTGTGGAGGACAGTAATGACAGGAAATTGTGCATAACTATAGCACTGAGCAGCTTTTTTCTTTTTTAAAAAAAAGAAAAGAAGACATGCTGCATGAATATGCTTTTCAATATAAAAAGGTAAGAATGTCCTCGTAATTATTTTATTTGACAAGCTGTAGTTGTCTATCACATGCAGCATCCATTTCTTATTAGAATGCACAAAAGACAGTTCAAACTAAATATTTTTGTTGAATCTAATGTGATTTTAAGCTCTAAATTTTCAAACTGATAATAAATATAATCGAGAGAACAATAATATAGACCTATGTTTTGTTTGTGCTCTGCACCCTGTACCACATCATGGTCAATGGTAGTAATGTAGGAGTAATGTCTTTTTTGTTAAGTGAGAGAGCATTTTTGCATTTCAGAGAGATTTATAGACAGCATTTTTGTGACTTGTGTTCAGGAAATCAAAATAAAATTATGCAGCTTTGTTTAATATACAAAGTCAGGTTAAATGTTACCAACATATTGAAACTAATTGTGGCCATCACCCGTATCCTCTTTTGCACTGTAGAAATCGGGTTTGTTCATCATGGTATTAGACTTATGCTGCCTTGTTCACAAGAACTGTAATTTTACATCCGATTGAGGTAACTGAGGCTTCTCTTCTGTTATTTTATCAAGGAAATGACTCAACTTACTTATAGAACAGTTTTTTCATACATGGCAGACTAGATGTAATGTTGCTTTGTGCTAGGTTTTAGTTGCTTGAACATGTTTAAAATACACAAAATTTTCAAAGAATGTGTATTCAAAGACTGAATCTGTACAGTTAATCTACTTTCACCCAATCGTTGGTCTAACATCACTATGTCTCCATCCACAGTTACAGCTTTATATTCATCTGATTTACTAACATTACCTGAGTGATGTAGGTTACTGCATAGCTAGCTTTACAATAACCTAACAATGGATTGCAGAATACATAAATATGAAAATACAAACACATTGAACAACATTGCTCATTTGTGACATAGTGACATTAATTACAGTTATCTAGCAACAACATTTCACTTACTTCATACTACACTTACTACATAATTTGCATTTGTGTTGTGACTTTTGTATCTGTGTTGTGACTTTTGTATCTGTGTTGTGACTTTTGCAGTCGTGTTGTGTCTTTTGTATTTTTGTTGTGACTTTTGCATTTGTGTTGTGGCTTAATTTGCATTTCAGTTGTTGCTATGTATTTGTCTTGAGGGTTTTGTATTGTGTTGACCCGTCTGGGCCAGTATACAAATAAATACAAGAATCTAAAGGACAGGTAAAACAGACACACATGGAAACACCAGGAGGAGACTCCGGGGAACGCAACAGTAACATGTAGGACACTGAGGAAACTGACAAAGACAGGCCCAATTTGGCCCCTACACACTCCCACTCAGAGACGGAGTGTAACTCCGTGTGGATTCACACTCATGGCTGTGGAGGGTCTCTTCATTAAGGGGGAGGGTAATACATACACCGGCAAGCTTTGGGACACCCTCACCTTTCTCAGATGGAAACAGAAAATTTGTTGTTAGAGAAAATATTTCAGAAAGGACATTGTAATTAAATCAATATTTATTTAAAAGATAATCTCATACACAGTATTGACAAAGATGTAGGTGTATGTGCAGTGACATGGCACTCATCACATTCACGGCATAGTGAGCTTGTGAAAGGGAAATTATTAATGGAATAAATAAAAATGTACTCCCATGCTTCTTTGGCTGCATTTCGTTATTGTTAGACATTTTTTCATTTGCCATCTTAATCTTATTAGATCCTTATTTTGTCCAAGGTTCTTGAAATCATTAAGTCGGGTATACAATGGCATGTTCATTCCAAAATACAATGTAACCTCTAACTTCTTCATGTGTGCATGAAAACAGTCAAATGTTTGTTTGAGGTAATTTATAACTTATCCTTTGGAGATGAACACACAGAGTCCTGCACTCTCAGCTTTAAGTCATTTTATTTCTACTTGGCAGTATATTTATTGAATGGACTTCTACTTAAGCTAGAAGGCCAGGTCTGTCTGGGATTTAGACTGGTTTGTTTGTGTGTTTCCTTCCTCTCCCTCCCATAGGTGTGCTCAGTCACCATAGCAACCAGTTGCTGTGCAGTTGCTGGCCAGAAGTTGAAAAAGCTGACTTTGATAGGCTAATTAGACTGTTTAACTCCAGGCTGATTTTACTGTTGGCCATGTTGTCTTCTCCACAGTATGGCAGATCAACACAGGTCTCACAAATCATATTAACAGGGTCAGGTCAGGATCGTAGTCTACTGGACATGAATGAAAGTCCATGTGATGTTCACATGACTCTGTGTGTGTGTGTGTGATGTGCTACTGCCATCAATACTTTAACTGGTGATATTAGCACCTCTGACTGAGGTGGCATAGGAGTATCAACACCACAAATACTATCAACAGATCTTTTCTGTCTGTCTTTGCATGAAAAATAGGTGAGACGCAGAATCTCTAGATCATGTGATGCAGCTGGGAGGTATACATCAGTGAGTCCACTCTAACCTGTTAACATGGGCACTGAAATAAAAACCAAGATGTTCCGCACATGCCACACACATGCCACATGCACGTCACACACACATGCCACACAGCCAGTGTGTTCCAGGCCTTATGCCTCCTTTGCACAAAACAATTGTGTAAGCCTTTTTTTATGTTGTCAATGTGTTACTGTTCCATGAGTTCTTATTAATTGAAACATTAAAAGATCAGCAGTGTCAGCTGCTGTACTGACTTGAGGTCAGAGAGAAAAAACTCCCACACCCCTGTATTAGTATTGTATTGTATACTGTATATGTAACATTTTGTCCTTTCTTTAGCACTTGAGTACATTTGTTAGTGTGGGAGTTTGTCTCTACACTGCACACAAACCATCAAGTGGATGTTGAGAAGCTCACCTGTAGTAGATGACAGGAGGGTTGGCTTTTGCAGCACAATGGAATTTGACCACACTCCCCTCTAGAACAGGCTGACGCTCAACGGTGAGGTTGACAATGGGTGGGTCTGAGAGAGGGGAGATCAGGAGAGGATGAAGGACGAAGCAGCATCGTTTTGAAGTCTCTTAAAAAAAGTCTTACACAAGTCTGTCCAAATTCGATGCTTCAGAGTGGAATCTTCAGATCATTTATTAATTTCCTACCAGGGTATACAATTGTCTTCAGTTCAAAAAAAAAAAAAAAAAAGGCATGAAGACGAATTACACAGGATTCTGACCAAACGAAGACATCGAAGCAGCTAACAAACGCAGAGACAATTTAAAACTATACATTAAAAACAATTTATGTCTGTCGCTTAAATCTCATCCGTCACTTTGAAGAGTTGAAGGTTCACTCTGCATGATTTTCCTAAAAAAATAAATGTATCGTATCGGCAGAGCCTCTGCCTTCTTCCTGTGTTTTCCTATTGTCTTCTTATTTTACTGTTCAGGGTGTTTCTGGGCTGCAACCTTAGAAACTCTTAACCAATAACAGTGCACAGGGTGTGAGGTCACCTGCTAACATCAGGCTTTTGTCAGCAATGGGTACACTCGGCATTCACACCCGGGTCAAATGACTCTGCAGTAGATGCAGGTGTTTATTGGCTCAGCAGTGATGTGAACACAACACCTGGGTGAACTCACTAATTTTCACCCCTTTTCCTACTGTAATGTCTTTCACAGCACAAATACTGTAAACACACCTGTCACCTGCCCAATATGGTGCTGTTAAACCAGAAATACCGCAGCTATACCTTCCTGACAGTGAGCTGCAGCCCCGAAATAAGCTTTAAAACAAACGATTACCGATTGAATCGTCTTACAGCAGCACCTACCTGGGGATGAGACGAGACAGATCCGTTTTAACAGTTTGCACGGTGGCTAGCAGCTCACTCTTTCTCCACTGTGTCTCTGTGTGTGTGTGCTGCTCGTGATGACATTGCTTGCAGTTGTGTGTCCTTAGTAACTGGGTAACTGTGGCCCAGGGACAGTGATGAGCAGCACAGGGGCGGACTTTAAATACAACTCTGAGTCCTGCCACATCCAGAAATACTCGGATGACACAGCTATTGTGGCGTGTATCAGGAACGGGCAGGAAGAGGAGTACAGGGATCTGACGATGGCCTTCAGTGAATGGAGCGACAAGAACTGCCTCCTTATGAACACCTCCAAGACAAATGAGTTGGTTATCGACTTTCAGAGGTCTAGGCCCACCCTTCAGCCAGTCAACATTCGAGGGAAGGACATTGAGGTGGTGCGCACTTATAAATACCTAGGTGTGCACCTGGACAGTAAACTGGATTGGTCCCGGAACATGGATGCCATCTACCAGAAGGGGCAGGCCTGGCTCTTTTTCCTCAGGTCCTTTGACGTCCGCAGTGAAATGCTGCACATGTTTTATCAGTCACTGGTGGCCAGTGTACTCTTTTATGTTGCAGTCTGCTGGGGCAGCAGCATGTCCGACATGAACACAAAGAGACTGGACAAGCTGGTCAAAAAGGCTGGGTCTGTGCTTGGCAGGAGTCTGGACTCACTCAGGACTGTTGTGGAGAGACGCATGCAATGTAAGATGGAGGCCATCTTAGACAATACCAAACATCCTCTCCACAACATTCTGGCAGGACAGAGAAGCAGCTACAGCTGCAGCAAACGTTTCATCTCACTGCACTGCAGAACAGAGTGGATCCTTTGTTCCCACTGCCATCAGGCTATACAACACCTTAGGCAAAGGAAGTGGACTAATCTAATTATTATTGTTTATTTATTATCAACTGTTATCAGTTATTATTATTATTATTATTATTATTATTATCAACAATGAGCTAATGGACACCTGAATTTCTCCTAGGGGATAAATAAAGTATCTATCTATCTATCTATCTAGAACGAACAGAGAGGCAAACTCTACTGGCAGTGGAAAACTGGTCAATCAGCTTTTTTTTAATGGGCTTACCTGTATTTAAAAAAACTGCTTATACCTGCTAATTTTGGTGAAAAAAGTTTATATGTCAAAATAGAGAAACCAACCATCAACAGAGGAGGAGACACCACTGATCCCCCACCTACAATGCTATCCTTTCTTCCCTTCCCAGGAGATTTAACAACCATTCACACTTGACCTCAGGTGACTCCAATGACTGTCATTACATCAAACAAACACTAATGAACCAGCTGACATCAATGGTCTTGATAACGACCCCACAGAGGTTAAATGCCTGGATCTCCTCACCAGTCAGTCAGAAATGAAGAAGCCTGAAGAGTAAGGGTCGACTGATACTGATTAATAGTAATCAAGGAGACCAATAATTGATCTTTGGAACTGATATGCCAACACAAAACTACTGCTATATAAGGACTCTTGCTGTGGCATCCAGATGTTTCTATTATTATGTCCACCCCATATATATCAGTGGAGGTAAGCTAAATAACAGAAACACCTCTGTATGATGTAATAAGCTCAACAGCTCCACACACTGCGTCCTTCAGAAGTTGAATCAACAACTGTCTAAAACAATTTTATTACAAACTGAACATTATAACCTTTGTGAAGGAGGATTTACTGCAGGAGTAATGTATTAGACTACATCAGTTTAAGCTAGATGTTCCTATATTAGTGTGTATATTAGTTGTATGCACAGGCTGCAAAGTGCCTGAGTGGAACTGATTGGTTGCTTTTGGTGCTGTTCTCACCTGGGAACTGATATACCTGGCAGCCTAAAGATGCTCTTTAATTCAATAGCTTTATCAGATATTATTATCATCACCATTTTACATGTTTTACCTCTCCCCTTTTCAAAATGTGATGCAGTAACATGTTTACTCAGAGTACAATTTCACTGACATACTTTGTACTTTTGTCTGAGTACATTTTACTGTACCTATTTCTCTTTTTTTTTCCAAAGGAACTCACCTGGAAGTAAAGAACTGTACCAATACATTTAAATCTTTCCACAGCTTCAACATGTTGGCAGCAGGCCTCATGTTAATCGAATATATTCCATCATTGACTGAATTTTTCTGGAGTGCGTCTGTCATTTTGTCAGATTAGAGCAGAGTTCGATGATAGGTTATGTGACCTTTTCCATTTTGCACACAGACTACATTGTGGAGGTAACTAAATTCCTATCAGAGCAACCTGTGTAACTATCTGGGTGCTGATGGCACATTAATGACAGGAAGCCTTGGATCACGTCTCAGACCACTACACAGAGGTGCATCTGCACCATGGTGCAGATAGAGCACATGCTGCAGGATTTTCAGGAAATCTGATGTTCAGAAACTCCTTTCAACTTGTCATCACTTCCCTGTGAGAAATGTTCCCCAACTTCAATACTCTGGCTTAAGTGGTGCAGATAATTCCAGTCTCCAATGTGGCAACAGGACACGAGTTCAGTCTTCAGAACAAAATGGCCACGAGAAGTCATCTGTTCGAGGCAAAGACATAAACCTAATGACAGTCGCCTCTGCACCCAGTTTAAATCCATGGAGGAAGGTTTGAGGTCAGGCTACAACAGGTCAAAGGACTTCAATTTAATTTCTTGTCAATAATTAGGGTTAAGGCTGTTCATATTTGACTGTTGTTCATATGGCTGTGGTTTTTAGTTCCCTCCACCATAACTGCAGGGAATAAAATTAATTCACCTGCTTCATGTCGTGATGACACGAAAAGTGTTTATTACACACTTAGACAGATGGATGATTTTGGTTACCTCTCATATTTCAGTTTGTATAGTCAGTGGTGCCTTAAATCACAGGGCTTGAGCCCAGGCCTCCAAACAGTCAGCATACAGCTATACAGCCTCAGCCCAAGGTTCCCAAACTGCCCGGCACCACAGAGCCTCAGCTGCCCAGTGACTATAAGCCTCAGCTGCCCAGCGACCATGAGCCTCATCTGCTCGGCACCACGACTGATGTCCAGCCAGATCCTGAGTTGGCCATGTGTGCCAACGTCCTGTCGGCTTGTGCTAACCCATGCAAGTCTTTGGGACAGTGAATAGCAATGAGTTCTGAGATCTCAGGTCATATTGTGAACCACAAGCAGGATTCATAAATACCAACAGGGAGAAGGCTGCAACTTTAAAATGGCCTTGTAAACAAATGTTCTTGTGTTTGGATGACTGTATGAAGAGTGAAATAAAAAGCACATGTAGCTTTTATTGACTAACACTGTCATTGGCTGAGGGTGTAACATCTGTAATCCTCATCTGTTTGATTGTCAATGTGTTCTTGTGCTTCCCCCACCTCTCTGCAGACTTCACTATAAACTGACACTGACTTCTTCCTGTGGTTATTTTACATCATCAATGAGAGTTCTCACATAATGAAGAAGGTATAAATGACTTGGTTTCAGTCGGTGTCTGATGAGGCAGAAAGTCATTAAGACAGAGCATGTTTCATCTTTTGTAAATAACTGAATTATTTGGTTTTTACTCACGCTGAATGTCAATTGTGACAGTAGCATCTTTTCCGTTGGGGGCTGCTTTGTTTGATGCTCGACAGGTGATCTGCTGACCTGACTCAATGTTGTGGGGCAGCAGGTAGAGTGTGCTAACTGTGCTCTCCCTCTTACCATCCCGCAACAAGGTCTGAGGAATCAAAACAAAGGAGACAAGATTTTGAAAATTCATGTTCATGTATTATCCATAAGAGTATAATTTCATCAACAATGAAATGGTCTGTTTGACCATGAGTTCATGATTGTATTTATTCATGAAGGATTCGGATCCTTTAAACAGTTGAATTAAGTTCTTGTTTCTTGTGACCCTACATTCACACCTGTAGCTGCTCAGAGTAGCTCATGATGACTGAGGTCTTTGTATTCCTTATTTTCTGTAACAATACAACTGATCTAAACTATCTTTTATTCAGCTGTATCTTTAAAATTTGCATAATTTTGAAAAATTGTTTGTGGCATTTACCAGAGCTCAAGTGATTTACAACTAGATAATGACCGGACAGTCAGGTATCATTTGAGTAGGGATACAGAATATATGGATATAAAATATATGTATCCGTAAATGTAAAATACTGATGGCCCGACAAGCCTGTTAAAACATCCTGGACAGGTTTGTATGGAGATTAAACTGAAACACAAAAAGGTCAATGAGAAATCTGAAAAGCAGGTTGAAGAACCTCAGGTGATGAGAGAATGTTTCACTCCAGAAAAGACTCACAGACTGTAGATGAAGAGCAGAATGAAGAAGATGTAGAGGAAATCCAGATGTTTGACATCACCCTGTCCAGAGTTCATGAAGGTAAAAAGTCAGACACTGATTTGTTCCACTTGTCTGAATGTGAGCCCTGGTCTCCCACTATGGCATCCACCTTGACCACCTGTGACTCCATGCCAGCTGTCTTTGACTCGATGCCCCCTGTCTGTGACTCTGTACCACTTGTTTCTAACTCTCGGTGCCACCTGTCTGTGACTCAGTGTCACCTGACTGTGACTTGGCGCCACCTAACTGTGGCTTTTCTGTTGTTCATGTTTACCTAGTAGACCCCTAGTTGTCTCAGCCAATCGTACAACCATATGCCAGCACAAAAGTCTTCAGACCTTTAATTCAGGACTGTAAAAGCCCTGTAGCAGTTACAGTTCTCTTGAGTAAGTCCCTACAAGTAGTGATCACCTGGATTTGGGCAATTCATCCCTTTCTTCCTGACAGATCCTTTGAAGCTCCATCAGGTTGGATTGGAAACATCTGTGAACAGCCACCTTCAGGCCCTAGCCTCAGGTTGCTTGAGGACCTCTCTGTAATTATTTATCATCCTTCCCTCAATTCTGAACAGTCTCCCTGTCCCTGCTGCTGAGAAGCCCCCTCATAGCATGATGCTTCCCCCACCATGCTTCACCATAAGGATGGTATTAGCCAGGTGATGAGCAGTGCCTGGTGACACATCACAGCGGTGCAACTAGACTGTCCCATTTCAAAGGCTCCCTGCTCCCTTATGGATTATTGAGTGTAGCGTTTTTATCCATTAAAATGAAATGTACAGCACAAAGTGTGGAAAAATTGAAGGGGTCTGAAGACTTTCTGAAGCCACTGTAAGCATCAACACAATAGTAATATGTTCATTTCCCTATTATGGAAAATGTCTGACAAGTTGTCATTGGCAACAATGATCTCAGGATCAACTCCTCTGACCTGGTTAACACTCAGCCACTCTGTTCTGTTCAAAAACACAACACAACAGGGTGCACACATGTTGAATAGATACTTTGTGTCAAGTCAATTCTCACGTTGCATATAAACTGTAACATTGAAGAGAAAACTATTTTGCTAAATATGTTTCAGTATTTTGTAGATCAAGAGGTCATTACAGTTTGACCCTGTAGCAACATTTGGAATTTAAAACGGATAAAACCTTAAATTTCAGTGTTGTTCCAGTTCATCTTCACACAACACCCACTGTCAGGGCACTGGAAAGTTTTCATAAGATCTAACACTGGTGACACTGCCCAGTAGTCTCAGCAGGGAGGGATGGCTTCATGTCATACCTTTGAATACACGGCTCCATTCAGGACTAGACCATTGCGGATCCAGATGATGGATGCAGCAGGTTTGGCACTGTCTGCGTGACATGTGAGGTTGAGTTGGTCACCAGCCTGTAAACTCACCACCGGGGCCCCCACTATCACTGGGTTGTCAGGAGCAACTATGGAGGAGCTACAAGTTAGATCCTGTTATGTGTATTTAATGACTTTCTTCATAAAACTAATACCAATACATTCATGTGCCAACAAGTTCCCAAATATCACAACAAATACACTCAAATAGATAAAGATTCACTTGATGCTGCAACAGATCTATTATAGTTTCGTGTTGTTACTTTAAGCTCTTCTGCATGAATCTGTCTACTTCTTCATGATTTCAATAAGTGAGACGTTATCATATGTGTCAGTGAAGAGTGGAGCTAGGACCCACCAAACACAGTGAGGTGGGCAGGTCGTGATCTGATAGCTGCCTGGATGGCCTGGCACTCGAAGACAGCATCATCTTGAATCTCTGTTCTCTGGATCAAGAGGTGATATTCTCCTTTCCTGTGATCTCCAATTATGTCATACCGTGGGTAACCTGCAAAGAAATGAGAGCACAATGTTTGGAGAAGCAATCTGTCATGTGTTGCCCTTTCATCACATTCATATGTGCACAGGGATTCACAAACACACAAGTCATTGGCTACTGTTGGGACTCATCATTCAAGAGACCACATGTTTCTTTGCTCCACTGGACAAAGGAACTCACACTCCACAGTTCCTCACCGTTCACACCTGGGGACGACCCTTTCCCCCACGGACCTTACTGGCCAGCCAGTGTGGGTCAGCGTGTGACATATGACCCCCAAGGGTGTCACCAAACAAAACCAGATCTCTTGTCCCTCCTCTCTCTCTCTTCTCTTCTTGGCTTGTTCTGGAGAGCAGCTCCTGCTCTCTCCTCTCGGCCCTTCAAAGGGCAACAAGGCCCCATCCCAGGTCAGCCTTGCTACCTGAGAAATCAGCTCTCGCCGGCCTGCTCACAGCGCCTGCAAACTTTCTTCTCCTCAACAACAGCGACCTGCTTCGGATTAACTCAGAGTGAACCAAGTTCTCTTCAGAATCAGCAGCTACGACACAAGGCCAGCTGATTTTCCAAGCAACAGGAGTCACAGCAGCATTAGTGTGGAACAGCTAACTCTGTGAGGAGAACAAGGAGATAACAGCAAAGCAACACAGCCAGACAGGACTTTACCTGACCAGGAAGCCTCCCAACTCACATGACTTTACAACTACACTGGAAAGGACCTCTTTCTTTTATTCCGAGGACCGGGTAATGTTAACTGACTGGGCCTAACCTCTCCTAGCACAGCATAGCACAGCACAGCTAAGTAGCCGAAGTCTTAACTCTGTTAATGTACCTGATTGTTGATTGATGTCATGTTGCTGTAATGTTTGCTTAGGTTGTGGTTGTTCATACAGTTAATGGAGTACTTGTATGTTCACACACGTACCTGCTGTACGTCTCAGTTCTAGAACCTGCATGAAGTTAATCTCCTCCCTCTAACCCAGCAGTCCCCAAACTTTTTTAAGTGGGGGCCACATCAACTTTCCTTTCTGAGATGGGGGGCCGAGGTTAGTCTATAACAGGAAATGATATGGGCCAGGGTGACAACCAGTATTATTGTGGAGATTACAATGATAATTTGTTGTAGCTGCCCTTCGTTTGGCTTTGGCACCACCTGTTGATTTGCAAAAAAAAGTAATAAAAAGTCTTCACATGTGTTTATTTGAAGTACCACAGATACTCCATTTATTTTATAGAAAATAACAACATAAACTGATGGCTGTGGCTGGGGGGGGGGGGCGCCGGTGGGCGGCCGGGCCAGGGTGGTGACGGCGGGCATAAGCTCTGCTTAGCTTGGGAAAACGCATGCTCTGATGAACTGGAGGGGGGGGCCGCAGGTGGCCGCCAGGCAGGCTACTCGGTGCATTGCGTGGGCGCAATAGCCATGTGGCGTGGATTAGAGACTTGAGAGCTGGGGGGGGGCGCCGGCGGGCCGCCTATAGCATCGGGCATCTCTCATATGCTGAGGTGCCAACCATGTTAAGACTAGTTGTAATGTCAACAACGGACAAAGTTTGTCCAAAAAGTCACAAGTTTGGCTGTCTACCGGACTCGGCTCGTCACGCTGAGTAACATATGTCAGCCCAGCCTTCTGAATGCTGCTCCTTCCGAAGGGACCGACCATGGTGGTTCTGCATATGCTGCCGGGGGACACGGTTAAATTCTGTGTTTTAATAATTTCCAAAAAATTTTCTCGAAAGTCCACAAATTTGGTGTCTACGGA